AACAGAGTGCATTGACCGGTTCCCAATCCTCTCTCTAAATTAAAGGTTATAAAGCTATGCTTCCGCCTTCCTTACTTGTAAGTTTTTACTAGATGTATGAATAAAGAGACGGTTACTGGTAAAACCAAACAGCCTCTACAACATGGGAGTCCATTAGCAGACTTAAATGGCCGGAAGTTAGTAGTTTGAAAGTGAACTTAGTCTTTAATTACGCATCGACTTCGCCGGTATGCTTACACCACAACTACGTTATAATCATATCTCCGTACATCTACGCTTCTCTTGTCCTCAACAGATTACCTTATATTTTAATTTCTTTCGCATTTTTATGAGAAAGAGCAAGAGATCAAGCACAGATAGGTCAGCACCGTCGTTGGTGTCAAACCTCTTCCTCCACAAAATCCGCGTACGCACACAATGCAACCACTTTCTTCTTTTTTAGGTCACCGAAAATGTGTGCATGCGTGTTGTGGGGGTATTTTTAGTAACCTCGAAGTAAATTTGCAATCTATTTGACTGTTCTTTTACTCCATAGGTATCTCTCTCTCTCTCTCTCTCTCTTGGTTTTAGTGCTTTTTTGTTAAGCTGACCATGAAAATGTCGTGTTAAATGAAAAAAGCACATAACATGTTTAAGTGGTTTTACTACTTCAAGATCAACTATTGTAGGGTGCCATTCTGTGTTCCCAAACCTGATTTGAATAAAATTTGTGTGATAGAATTATGGGGGTGGTGTGGGGGTTCTAATGATTGGCTCTTGAATCCTACTCTGATCTGCCAGAAAACGCAGTTGTCAACGTTCACATCTGTCTGTTCAGAGATCACAAAATTAATACCCTTTTGGTGTGCACTCAATGACGTGAAGGCCCAAGCCCATTGGCTAATATAAGTCAAAAAAGTTTTCTTATGTGAAGATTCTAAATATACTTTCAAAGTCAAGTATGGCAAAAGATTCTTCCAATGAGAGTCTTGAACCGCAGAGGCACATAGTTCTCCAACATTTTAGGGTCATTTTGACGCCAAACAGAATCGCCTATTATTCCTCACATGTTGGAAAATTATTTGTCACTTGATTATCTATCGTTCTATTATTACCACCGCTGATTTTTTATGTTCACCTTATCAGAATCTTGATACGAAGCTGAACTAGTTAAATATTTTATTACACTTGTCATCCAAGTCGCTCGTTAGAGAGTGCCAACTGTCTCTACTTCATCCATTATTCATTGAATCTTTGATATAATGATATGTTGACTCGTCCTCATCTCGATTTGTAAAATTAAAAATCTCCAATTGCTTATTAAAGTTGATTCATTGGACAAAATATTTTATAATTTTGATGTAATGCAAAGAAGCTATTTGGATCAGAATCGTGCATTGAATAATTTGGTCTAATCCCATAGGGTGGTTGGAAAGTCGGTCATGTTTTCAGGTGAAGATGGAATGCCAGAATTTTACATATGTTGATCCACTTCTGCCTCCTATTTAAAAAAACATCTAAATCGCTAATTTGTTCAGGAAAAAAGTTTTAAAATTTCCTAGAGCCCTTTTAGTTGAATATTCGAGAATATTAAATTCCCCTAGTGGTTTGCAAATCTTGATCATTTTGAGTTTCTAAAGCGCACTCGGTATTTACAAAATAAGTTTACAATGTTTCTATTTTACTTATTTTCTGTTTCCTGAATTTTTACATACTGTTTTCTTGTTATTGTTGGGCTATTTCATTTATTTAACTTTTTGTTTACTTTCTTGGCCAATTGTTTTCTTTCATCTCTCATCTTTTTCCTCTTCCCCTCAATTTTGTTTAAATGTCATTAACAATATCTTTGAATATCGGCCCTTTTCAATTTTGAATTTTAAACAATTTTGAATCTGTCTTGAACTCGTCAATCATTATTTAATATGGTATATCTGACTCTTCATTAGCACTTCTTGATGATTAAGGTGTCAGAACTCCTTATTCGATCACAAAACTGTATATGCTAAGTGACATTAGATACGCTATGCTGTGAAATGAGTCGAACTCCTAAAGGTAAAAAAAATACGGAAATGGATGAGAAAACACTCGAATTTATTATCTTAAAGTGTAGATAAGATAGACATCTTGCCATTAGTGGTTCCAATATGTCTTTAAGTGTATCTTCACTCCATCTCTCATAATATGGATCGATGACTGTCGTTCGTTATCCCTCTATATGTCTGCTTTGTTTTTATTTAGTATGATAATACACTATTAATTTCTTCACACACACCCACGCACACTAGATTTAAATCAGCTGGGTTTGGGTAGTGTATATAATTTTATGAATAAATTGTTTGTATTTGATCAACTAGAGATATTATTTTATCTTTCCGTGAATTTAATCATACTCTAGCATAAACTCTCTAGATACACGCATGAGGGTCTTGGTTATGAGCAAAGGAGCTCATAAAGCTGTAGTTGAAGTAGCGCTGATGGCTCAGAAGTAGCAATAATATTTCGATGTCACCAACTGAACTTGCTCCGCCAAGTGTATATACTCCCGTAGGTTTTGGTATGGGATAGGGCTGTGAATGCACAAACTCCTCACAATCACGCAAAATAAGGGAGGTAAGCAACACCACATATATCACATCTAGATCACTTCCGCCCAACAGCTTGCTTTCCCTCTTCAGTCCATCAGCCCCCCTCCCCACCCCATGAGCTTTGTGTGGCGATTAGTGCGCTCGCGCCTACCGAGTTGTGAGGTAGAGGGGAAAGGGAATAACCTCACCACTCGATATTACTGTTAGCTTTAGGCCTCGATTAAACACACTCCCTATTTGTGCGTGTGTGTGTGTGTGTGTGTGTGTGTGTGTGTTAGAGATTAAGAGGCCGCTGCGCTACTTTCTACTGCGATCTACTCGCCTTCTGTGTCACGCTCTCTTCTCCCTCTCTCTCTAAGTATTATTGGCTAGTGTCGATTTTTTATTATCACGAATTGTATTCATTAACTGCTAGAATAAGCTCACTGCGATGCAAATGTATTGCAGAAACAATTTTTTAGGCGCCAGTGTTCTTCACTCATTCAGGGCTAGGCCAGTGGTTTAAATTAATCAATAGGGCGGGGGGTGGGGGCATCAGAAAGCAGGTTGCTTGTCAGAGACCCAAGGGTTTCCAAGGTTGAAGGCACTTTCCTCTGACCTGCTCGGGACTTCTATTTTACGATAGTTTGCAACCGCCGTTGGCAAACTGTTCTTTAAACTACAAATTAAATACATCAGCGATTGTGGGCTCTACTCTTTTAGACGCACATCTAACGATCGAAATGCTCATCTAAGCTGGTTGACATAAACCGGTTCAGTTAATGCCATTGGAGTACCGTCGTTACGTTCTCCGAGATGGGTACTGCGTTATTTTTTTTATCTCAGATGGCATTCGAAGTTGGGAATAAGAGCCCTATTCTAATCGAATTTCATTAAGTTATTACTATCCAAAATTATTTGTTTGCTGTTTGCACTCTGCTCTTAGCCAGGCCCTTGTTGTTGAAGCTCAAAATACTGTCTAGCAGGGTTTTCTCTTTTTTTCGTGTTCTATTAACCCGTCTCTATTGGATTCAATGAACAATTGGCAAGGTCAACACCTTCCTGAACTGTAATGGTTTCTGCTCTTAAATGCATCCATGCAATTAAGATGGACGTAAATTTAATAGTATTCAACTCGATAGGTGGGTGCAATTGAATAGAATTATCCTTATAATACGGTTACTACATATTTGTGGTATTCATTTTTTATTTAGATTGTCTGTCGTTTGGATAGCCGTTGGTTGATAAAGGATTTTTTTATATTCTATTCCTTTGTTTCTTTGTTTTGGTTAAAGAATATAAGTTTTTCGCTTTAGAAGAGTGTAAATTGGCTATTTTAAAATGTCCTTAATAAGATGGGAAGCACAATTTGCTTTAAAAGTTGGGCAAATGTTGATTTTCTTCCACTCTCGTATGCATGCTGCCTTCTTTTGCTGTCTCAGCAGAATAAACACACAATTTCCCCATCTCTTACTCCCATTTACCAATCCCACCCCAGTCCTTTCCCCGTTCTCTCCTTCCCTCTCTCTGATCTGCTCTGCCCCGCTCTATCTCCTCTTTCGGATCACCGTCTGCACGCGATTCGGTCATTTTTCTCAATCCCATATCCCTTCGATCTAGCTGTGGATTGTGGGCTTTATTAAGCCACATCATCTTTTAGATGCTATCTGCCAACTAAATCACTGCTTTTTTCTTCTCTATTTCGCTTTTTTGCTCTCTTGAGGCAAATTCATAAATACTCCCACCACTTAACCCGGAGACTATTCCATTAAGCTACTTAACTTCTGCCCTGCTCTGTAGAAAGTGAATAATTGAGGCAGAAAATATGTCTATCCTAGAGTTAAGATGCTTCTCGATCACGCTATTCTTCTCTCTTATAGTGCAAATATCGAGCGAAAATAAGGTTTTGATGGCTGTTTTTAATCTTCCAATTTTTGCTTTAAGTCTCCATATTGTTTGACGGGTTATTCCTTAGGGCTGGAAGAAAAAAAACATAATAATTAAAGCAAAGGAACCTGCAAATATATTAATAATAAACTAAAAGGGATGCTGGGGTCCCACACTGAGTAGTGATGAAGGACATACAAAAACCGTGACATAAAGCAAATAGATTGGTTCACCTCCTTTGTTCTACGTTCTTTCCATGTGTATTCTAGTCTTATTGAAAGAAGAAGGCAAACAGCACCAAATTACTTTTAGAAACTGTCATTTTAGGCATCTTTACGTCATTTTCGTTGTTGATCAAAGTGGTTGTTTGTAGTTCAAATAGAAACTGTAGAAGTTGTTTAACAAAGTTGGTCTTGTACTCCATTTAAACTGAAAAGGCATAGTGCCTGGCTGCTATGCGTTCATAAACCAAGGGGATTCATACAATGAAAAGCGAGGTAGAGATTTGTTACTTATTATCTTTAACGGAGTTCATTGGCTGTAACTGGATCATTAAGGCGATTGATAAGTATGAGGACTATGTCAGTATATTCGAGTTAACATGGTCCCATCTTTTCTCCTTATATAGGTGTTCCTTCATCCTGGGAGCAAATGGAGAACCTTTGGCGTTTCCACAATCTGCTCAAGAGGAAGTTGTTCGAACAGTAATTGAACCAATGGCTTCTGATGGACTTCGTACAATTGCTATCGCCTACAAGAACTACGTTGGTGGTGGTATGTTTTATTCCACTTTAATAGCTTATTCTCCATATGGTACTTAATTAAATTGATTGAAAATTTCTATCTTGATGTCAGCTCATTTTAAGAAAATCCATTAATAATGTTATAAATCCTCTCATGACGTGCTGGCGTTAGATCAGAAATCTGCTATTGCTACAAACTTAAACAATAGGGCTTAGCTAAAAACCGAAATCTAATTGCCAAATCAACTGTTCGTAATGTCTAGACATAGAAATTTTTACCTTGAAATTCCTAAACCGCATTAGAACATTTGTCCGTCATTGTACTTTTGCTGCCCAATAGCAACTGACACTGTGATCCTGTTTTGGCACATTTTCTAACCTCGTCGGGCTTGCCAGTAGCAGTACGCTTCTGTAAGAAAATAAAAGGTAATAGGGTAGGGTTGGAGATTATTAATCATAACAAAGGTACAACTTACTAACTATATTTCAGACCGTAGTTGAACTCTTGCAATAAGTGGATAAGTCCTTTCCCTGAACATCCACATTTGTTTAGCTTCTTAGCTTACAGGCTGAATACGTATAGGTGGCGTTAGCTTCTTTCAATGCCAGAGTATTCTTTTATTTGGCATCACTGTTATTGATTCGAGGTTTAAACCATGTAGCGTCTGCATCGACATATTGTCATTTATCTTGACGCTCGGACTGTCATGATATCCATTCGCGGCCTTTGACAAATATATAGCTGATATATCGAGTCGGGTTTGCTCTGCTTGGTCTCTCTCTCTCCCCCCTTACCACATTCTTTGGATAAAATAAATAAACTGCAATAAAAAGTGGCAGGTTTCCTAACTCGCTTTGTTGTTTATGTTAAAAAATGGGAAAAAATTATCGTCTGTTTGATTTGTCTTTCCCAATTTTGAAATAAAATCAAACTTGTGATCTTTTATAAATTATGCTAAGATTCGAAGAAAGGGCTGGTTAGGTTATTTGTAGTTGGTATCGGTAATTTCTTGTTTTTAGCTTTAAATCCTGCTACCACTTAATCAATAAATTGTTAGATTACCAATGAAATTTTCCATTTACTTAGGTGCTACACCAGAAAGCAATGAATTTCCCATTCCAAATGGCAAACGTATGGACCTAGAAGATGAAGCAAATTTAATTTGTGACTTGACTTGTCTTGGAATTGTGGGCATCGAAGATCCCGTTCGGTCTGAGGTTCCAGCAGCCATCCGCAAATGTCAGCGAGCCGGTATCACTGTTCGCATGGTAACAGGTGACAACATCAATACCGCCCGATCCATTGCAATGAAGTGCGGAATTATCTCGGAGGGAGACAATTATCTTATCCTTGATGGAAAGACTTTCAACCAACGCGTGAGGGATCCCCGAACTGGCAAGGTCAAACAGGAGTTGATGGATCAAGTCTGGCCTTCTCTCAGGGTGCTTGCACGTTCCTCACCCCAGGACAAGTACACTCTGGTATCAGGAATTATTGATAGCCATTTGACAAGAGCGAGAGAAGTTGTTGCCGTCACCGGCGATGGTACCAATGATGGCCCCGCGTTGAAAAAAGCGGATGTTGGTTTCGCCATGGGAATTGCTGGCACAGACGTGGCCAAAGAGGCGTCGGATATTATTCTCACCGATGATAACTTCACTAGTATTGTTAAGGCCGTTATGTGGGGAAGAAATGTCTACGATTCTATTGCAAAGTTCCTCCAATTCCAGCTGACTGTCAATGTGGTGGCTGTTATTGTTGCCTTCGTTGGTGCCTGCTTTATCACGGTAAGTGGAAAATTCTAGTACATTGGGGTTACTATCATTATGCTCATTCGTTTATGACCTCAAATGTGATTTATAAAATTCTAACTCTCACTCAGATAACTTTAATTACAATTTAGTTGAATAGATGGAATAGTAATCGATTTGATTACCATTGTTTTTTTGCTACTACTGGGTACTTTTACTGGAGATATTAAAATCTATATTTCTAGACAATCACCTATCATATCGTATCGTCTAACTAACACGAAGTACAGATACTTTATAAAAAGCGAATACAATATTTGTTTCTTTGAAATAACCGATTTTGAAAAAAATAGGCTAACTTTCAATGGAATATGGAAACGCCATCAATTAAACTTTGACCGAATTGACTTTATGGACACAACTTCATTTTCCAGGCCAAAAGTTTTGATATAGTCATAATAAAATAACTCTTTGAAACAATAACCTTTTTCATAGTCTCAAGGTTGAAAGGCCAATTTTATCTTTTTCTTTTGTAATTAAGGGCCTTACATAATTCGCAGTTTTTTGTCGGATACAGCTCTTCCATTTGAAACTCTATGGTCTCGGAATTGTCCATGTAAAATCGCTTTCGCCTATTTCCTACTTTGCCACTTAATTTTCAAACGAATTTTTGTGTCCTTTTTTTGCCTTCCACTTTGCCTTCCATTGCTGCAACAGCAGCAGTAGAGCGAGAAAAAGCGGACGAAGAAACGGCATCAGTTGATCGCGTCTTAAGATAAGACCCCTGGAGTGGGTAACTAACAGGACACCTGGGGTAGATTTTTATCATTCTTCTGTCCTGCAGAAAGAAGACTGCAAATTGCCATTCTTTGGCCCAGATACACTTTATTCATTTTCTTACCTCCCTCATTTACATCCATCTCGTTTGATCCCGTTATTATTGGGCTGAGTGATCAAGATAGTCATAGAGTGTTCGAATTTCAAAAGTTCATATAAAGTTATTAGGATTATCAACGATTTACGTTTGGTACTGATCAGCATGTAATAGAGAAATAGGGGCTTTCAATTAGAGTTTGTTCACAAAGAGAGGTATTGAAAAAATTTTCAACTTTGTTATCGAAAACTACTTCAACTTGCCCTCCTCTCTCTTAATCATGTTGAAGGTGGAAGAAATAAATAGTTTTGACGTAACCCCTACATTGTTCATTCACTTATTTATTTATTTATTTACATCAAATGGCAGGCGTTTTGATAGTTATCA